CGGAATAGAATTCCGAGAGTTGTAGTAGATTCATTAGGTGATTTGGGATGTGTGCGCAAAATTTCAGGTCATTCGGAGGTGTTTTGGTTGGGTTTTGATCAAATGCATGTTTCGGAAGTTTTAGAAGAACTTAGGCTTGATATAATTTGATAGCTTTGGTGTTGTTTGATGATTGGATCAAGTTTGAATGATGTTTTAGGATGCGTTGCTGCTTTTGGTTGAGGTCCCGGGGGCCTCGGGATGATTTCAGATGGCTAACGGGAGGTTTGAACATGGAAAAATGTTGCAGAAATTCTGCAGTCAGTGCAGCAGGTAATTGGCCTTCGCGAACGCGTGTGGGCCATCGCGTTCGCGTAGAAGGAATTTGAGGGCCAGGATTTTTGACCTTCGCGTTCGCATTGGAGGACTCGCGATCGCGGAGGGTTAGGTGATCAAGCTTCGCGTTCGCATGAATAGGATCGCGTTCGCGTATGAGGGGAAGGCCGAGCATCGCGTTCGCAGGGTTAGTCTCGCGTTCGCGTAGGGCTAATTTTGGAAATTTAATATTGTGCTTCGCGTTCGCGAGGCAGTAGTCGCGAACGCGATGAAGGATCTCAGGGCTGGACAGAAGGGTTTTATTAAATATTTCATCCGCGAACCAAGTCTTATTTCCACCATTTTTGAGCAACCTTGAGAGCTTTTGGACGGGAATTGAAGAGGATTTCGAAGGGGATTGATTGGGGGTAAGTCCTATGAACAAAAAACACGTTTTAATTGTGAATTTAGACTGAAAAACCAAGGAATTAAGGAGTTAGAATGGAGGTTAGGGCTTGAACTTAAGAGAGTTAAGAATGGGGATTTGAGGGGTCATTTGGACTCCGATTTTGGTAATCTTTATATGTATAGACTCGTGCCGAGATAAGGAATCCGTTGATGTTAAATTTTCTGATTTTCGAGAAGTGGTCCCGGGGCTCGGGTTTTGCTAATTTCGAGATTTCAGCTATTTTTCGATTGTTTTCGCTTGGGTATTATTCCATTGGCATATTGTGACGTATTCGTTGTGGTTTTGATCAGATTTGACGCACGAGGAGGTCTATACGAGAGGCAAGGGCATATCAAGCTAGGATTTTGGCCGGCTTGAGGTGAGTAATAGATGTAAATGTTGTTCTGAGGGTTTGAAACCTCGTGTTTGCACATCGTAGTGCTATATTGAGGTGACTTGCATGCCGGGTAGCAAGCGTGGGGTAGAGCACCGTTGGGGATTGTGACTTGGTCCGTCCCGGTAGATGAATATACTGCGTATTTGACTGAAATTTACTTATTATTATTTTAATTGAGCTGATTGCTATATTTGGGCTTCGTGCGAATCGATTAAATCCTTCAGGGATTGTTATTGCTGGTTTCTTACCATTTCTATATATCTTTGACTCAGTCCTGGAATTTAATATTGTTTTGCAAACTCAGCCACTTTTCTCAAACTGAAAACTTGTTTAATATTTTTTTTAAAATGAAGTTTGGACTAAATATTTCTATATTAGTGTGCCCGAGAGGCTTATGTGGTTTTGGATTGAGTATGGGATCGGGCTGTGCGCCGCAGCGGTATGATATTGATATTGATATGAAGCCGAGGGCCTAGTTGATGCCACAAGATGGCTTATTATTGCGCTTGGGCCGTAAGGGGCCCCTCCCGGAGTCTGCACACCCCCAGTGAGCGCCGTCGACGATAAATAAATGGAGCGGGCTACACGCCGCAACGAGTACTGGAGAGTACCGGTCTATGTGTTGCATTGCATATTTTGATTGTCATTTACTTACTTATCTGTTGTGATATCTCTATAATTGTTTTCACTGATTTATTGATTTTATGCTACTAGATTCAAGTTGCTGTATTTATAGAATTACTTTGTGCCTATTCAGGATTTCTTATTCTCAGCCTTTATTTATGTTTATTACTCACTGGGTCGGAGTACTCACATTACTCCCTGCACCTTGCGTGCAGATCCAGGTACTACTGAGGCTGAGTGAGGACTTCTCTGCCTAGCATCACATTTGGGAGTTTCAAGGTATCTGCAGTTGACGTTCGCAGTCCTGATCTTCCTTCTATCTCATTTATTATATTTCCGCATTTCTAGAGAACGATATGTAGTAGGTTGATACTCATGTACTAGAGGCTCAGACTTGTGACACCGGATTCTTCGGGCTGTGTAGTTATTTTATATTTTGGGATTTTTGCATGTTTAACTCTATTCTCGGATTTTTAGTATTTTGACTTAGTAATTATCTGTGTTAATTAATTCATGCACTGGATAAAATGATTAAGGTTATTTAATTGGTCGGGCTTGCCTAGCAGTGTGTTGGGCGCCATCACGACCGGGGTTGGGGTCGTGACAAGTTGGTATCAGAGCCTAGGTTACTTGGTCTCGCGAGTCATGAGCTAGAGTCTCGTGGATCGGTACGGAGACGTCTGTACTTATCCTCGGGAGGCTGCAGAACCTTTAGGAAAACTTCACATTCTTGAAACTCTTGTCGTGCGGCTTTGTTGAACTGAAAACTAAACTTCTTTATTCTATTCTCTCACAGATGGTGAGGACACGAGCTACCGGACGTGACGGACGACCACCAGTGCCACCTACTGAGGCCGCCAGAGGCCGTGGACGCGGTCGTGGCAGAGGCAGAGCAGCCGGGGCAGCACCTGCTGATCCACCAATTGCCCCAGCTCAGGATCAGGCTCCAGCTGTGGATACTCCAGCAGCACCTATTCAGGCACCAGCTGTGCCTATCGTGATTCCGGGTCTCCAGGAGACCTTGGCACAGATATTATCAGTCTGCACTGGCCTGGCTCAGGCAGTTTCAGTCACCACAGCAGCAGCAGCTACTTCACAGGCCAGGGGAGGCAATCAGACCCCCGCTGCTCGCACACCTGAGCAGGTGGTACAGGGACTACAGACACCAGAGGCACCTCCAGCTCAGCAGGTTGCACCAGCTCAGGGCTTCGTGGTTCCAGCTCTGCCAGACGATGAGCAGCATCGTCTCGAGAGGTTAGGTAGGCTCCAGCCTCCGACATTCGGTGGTGCTGAGGGCGAGGATGCCCAGGGTTTTCTTGACAGATGTCAGCGTATGCTCCGTATGGCAGGGATCCTTGAGTCGAGTGGTGTGGCATTTACTACTTTTCAGTTCACGGGGGCTGCTCTTACTTGGTGGGAGGACTTTGAGAGGCGTAGGCCCGCCGGTGCAGCACCTCTGACTTGGCAGCAGTTCTCCGCTCTCTTTCTGGAGAAGTATGTACCTCAGTCCCGTAGGGAGGAGTTGCGTAGGCAGTTTGAGTGGTTGACACAGGGGGATATGACAGTGACTCAGTACGAGATGAGATTTTCACAGTTGGCCCGTCATGCTACTTGGATGGTTCCGTCATATCGTGAGAGGATTAGGAGATTTGTGGATGGCCTTAACTACCATCTCCGTATTCTGATGACTAGAGAGAGAGTACTGGGTGCTACGTTTGAGGAGGTGGTGGATATCGCTCGTGAGATCGAGTCAGTTCGCCGTAGAGAGCGAGAGGAGAGGGAGGCCAAGAGGCCTCGTGGATCGGGCAGTTACAGTGGTGCTCCTTCAAGGGGCCAGTTCCAGCAGGGTAGAGGTCGCTCTTTCAGGCCTGCTCAGTCGGCCCGTCCAGAGTATCGTGGGGGATCTTCAGGCCGTGGTCATCATGGGCCTCAGCAGGGTCAGTCTTCACTCAGCGCCCTCCCAGCTCAGAGTTCATCTCATGCCCCATCAGCTCAGGGTTCTTCTGCACCAAGTGCATCTGCTAGTCACTCCGGTGCAAGGGGTTCCCTTCAGACCCCATCTCTAGTACCGGGCAGCTGTTATGAGTGCGGAGAGTTTGGTCACATGAGGAGGCAGTGCCCTCGCCTTCGTGGCAGACAGCATCAGCAGAGGGGACAACCCTCGACTTCTGCTCCAGTTACTTCATCACCCGCCCAGCCAGCTAAGGGTGGAGATCAGGCAACCAGGGGTCGTCCCAGAGGTGGAGATCGATCAGGCGGTGGCCAGGCTCGTTTCTATGCTATGCCGGGCAGGACAGATGTCATCGCTTCAGACGCTGTCATTACAAGTATTGTTTCAGTCTGCCACAGAGACGCCTCAGTATTATTTGATCCCGGTTCTACCTATTCATATGTCTCTTCATATTTTTCTCATCATTTGGGTACGTCCCGAGGGTGTCTTGCTTTACCTGTTCATTTATCTACCCCGGTGGGCGATACTATCGTTGTAGACCATGTGTACCGGTCATGTTTGGTGACTATTGGGGTTCTGGAGACCCGAGTTGATTTATTGCTATTGAGCATGGTGGACTTCGATGTTATCTTGGGCATGGACTGGTTATCTCCGTGTCATGCTATTTTAGACTGTCATGCTAAGACAGTCACTTTGGCTATGTCGGGCGTACCGCAGATCGAGTGGCGTGGTGTGACTGACTACGTTCCTAGCAGGGTGATTTCATTCCTAAAGGCCCAGCGTATGGTTGGGAAGGGTTGTCTTTCATACTTGGCGTTTGTGAGGGATGTTGAAGCTGAGACTCCTAGCATTGATTCCATCCCAGTTGTGAGGAATTTCCCCGATGTGTTTCCTGCAGACCTGTTGGGCATGCCGCTGGACAGGGATATTGATTTTGGTATTGACCCGGTGTCGGGCACTCAGCCCATCTCTATTCCGCCATATCGTATGGCACTAGCGGCGTTGAAAGAATTGANTGTAGTTATTTTATATTTTGGGATTTTCGCATGTTTAACTCTATTCCCGAATTTTTAGTATTTTGACTTAGTAATTATCTGTGTTAATTAATTCATGCACTGGATAAAATGGTTAAGGTTATTTAATTGGTCGGGCTTGCCTAGCAGTGTGTTGGGCGCCATCACGACCGGGGTTGGGGTCGTGACACCATAACTATCAAACCAATTACCATTCCTAAATGCCCAATCGTTGAGGCTGTGTATTTTGATCTGTGCATCTCTCTTGTTACTTCATGAGAATTGACAACCCGTTCTTTTAAGTTGCCCAAGACCAATATCTTCAATGCATTCCTGAAAATCCTTGACTTCAGCTGGTTGAACTGGAACACCATTCTGCCTGTCATCTACTGAGAGTATGGTATTGAAGTCCCCTAACACAATTCAGGGATCAGTTATGTTATAATTCAGTGCTCTCAGTCCATGCCAGAGGTCCATCCTTTCATTTATGGTATTCAATCCATAAACAAACGTTATCTGACTAGCAAATGGAGACCCCTTATCTTTAACTAAGCAATGAACAAATTGTTGCCTAGATATTAATGTTTGTACCTCCACTTGTTGGGGCTTCCAACACACCCATATTATGTTGGGTTTGTTATTAATAAATAATAACAAAAGAGGTGTGAATGGAAAATGGTGGGAAAAGAAATGGAGGGAAGTGAAATTTTGAATGAGTTCATTTCACTTATGCTCTTTGTCCCTCATTGGTAGAAGGAAAGAAAATCATTGTGTATATAAAGAGAAGCTCATCTTTTAGCTCTTAAAGAGCTAAGAAGAAGGCAAGCCTCGCGCCGTCGTCGTCGTCGTCGCTCGCTCGGCTCGGCTTCGGCTTCGAAATTCGGTCCGACCTGTTTTTCTTTCCCGGATTATTTTAAATCCATTTTCTATTTCCCGCAATATTTTGAACAGCCATGGCTGTTCTGAAACCAACAGCTATGGCTGTTCTGAAAGGTTGCAAATCTCTTTAGAAACAACACCAAGTTGGCTATAAATATACCTTCAAATCCCAGAATATTTACTTACGAAATTTTCTGATTATCTTCTTCTTTTTCTTCTGCACTAAAATTCCAGTGTGTTTTGCTGCCATCGAGTGCTTCGCTGTTCTCGGCGTTTTTGGTACCAATACTCCGGTGAGTTAAATCGTTCTATCCTGGGAGGACATATTCCAAAACCTCGGGTACTTGAGGGGAATAATTTCCTTAAGGACACACTGTGTATTCAGTGGGCTCGATTTGTTCCTACAATGTTTCAAAAATTATTTTGAAGTTCGAATACTGTTTTCAAAATTTGTTTCTACTAACTTTCTGTTTCTGTTTTTTCAGAAAGATTACTGTTTTATTTATTTACAGCAATACAGATTGATAACATATTCTACCATTTGAAGTTTGTGTATAGTCTGTAGCTACTTCCCATTCGTTACCCATTTTCTTCTTAATTTTCTCAGCCTTGTTGGCTTTAACTTTAGTCTCAAGACATCCTATTAGTACTACCTTATTTGTAAGCAGAAAGGTCTTGAGTTCTTTCTGCTTAAAGGGCTTGTTAAGCCCCATTATGTTCTATGAGCAGAAAATCATGGGGGGGGGGGGGGGGGGGAACTTCCTTGGAGGGCTAAGATCCTTTGTCGTTTTTGGGGTGACTACCATTGGTTGAATTCTCAGAGAACTAAATTGACTCTGCCTCAATAGCCTTTCAATCTTCTCACTATTTTCATATAGCTGACTTTGTCCCTCCTGTTCTGGGATGATAGCCAACTTTTTCTTTCCCCTGCTCTTAGCCTGATGCACCTGATATTCCATATCTTCCGATTGTGTTATTGCATCTTGTGTAGCAGCTAATGTTCCTACCTCCTTTGTTACAACTGGTTCAACCTGTTGCTCAGCAGCTGTGGCTGGTTTGGTAGGTTATTGAGGTGCTTTCACTCTCCAATCCATCTTTTGTTTCTTCTTGTGCAGTTGCTGCTTTTCTTTATCAGTTTGTGTTGCCTTCATGCCTTCACCATTGCGATGCCCTATACTCAGGCAGCTCTGACAATATAAGAGCCTCCATTCATATTCAATGGTCTGCAATCTGTACTTGCCTCCTGGTAATTCAATTGGTATCTCCTCTGGAAGTGCGAGTGAGACATCCATCTCAATTAGTATGCGTGCATAGGACACTCTTTCGCCGTTAGCTGTAAGTTTATCTGTGCAAATAGGCTTCCCTAAGCAGCTAGCTATCCTACCTAGGCTTCCTGCCGCCCAGTATTAGATAGGCAAATTAGGGAACGTCGCCCACATAGGAATAACCTGAAGAGGCTCCTTGCTCATCTGGAATTCTGGTTCCCATTGTTTGAGAACTATTGGCCTGTTGTTAAAGGTGTATGGTCCATTTTGAAGCAAGGTCTCCTTCTCTTCCTCAGAAGTAAATCAAAATATAAAATAGCCTTCGTCATGTAAGAATACCTGTGGAGTTGTGACAATATTCCAAACTCCATATACAAATTTCAGCATGTCCTTGAAGGCAGGGTTCCCCCAATTACATAGCCAATTAGTGTTGATTTCCATTTATGGCGCTGTTCTTCAACTTCCTTCTGGACTAATTGGACTGTCTTCACTCCGTCTTTCATAATCGGAGGAAAATAGTCAAGCTTCAACCCTAATTGCTGAGATCTGTTACATTTGACAACTTTAGCCGCTGTAGGTTTTCCTGCTCTCGAAACTGTAGAAAAGGTAAGTTTCCTTGCAGCTGAGGAGGTACCTTCATCTTGTCCTTCAGGGGTAGCAGTTTCAACCGGTAGCATACCTTGCAATACCGTTGGAGCACTACCCATTCCTGTTAACCATTGACCAAATTGCCTTGGACCTAAGTCCTGGGGAACTCTGTTTGTTGGTGCAATTAGTCTATTAGGTTCTTCATGTGTTGTAGAAGGAGTTGACGTCGCCGGATTTTGCTTATTCCGTCGAGCCATAGGTGATAGCGCACGTTAAAAAGCCTTGACTAACATGCGCAGGCAGAGCTTCTCTCTCCTCCATTCATATTCAATACCTTATTCTTCTATTCTCTCTTTCATCTTATTGGCTTTAGTTTTTATGGTAGAAGATACTTGAACCGTGTGACTTTGAATATTTCTACAGTAGATGTTATATTCTAGGGTGCTTTTTTTTTCAATCATTTGACCTTGGCAAACGAGTCACCATATAAACGATCCACATTAATCATTCAAACAAACTTTTTTTTCCTTTCATGTATATTTATTTGCTCAAAACTATATTTTAATAAATTATTTTACAACACTGTTTACTATAAGACGCGATATACACGTGCAACGCACGTGCCGAGAAACTAGTTATTATAAAAGCATGAATAAAATGTCGGTTTACAAAAATAACCTTATAATCTTAAGCATAATAACTCATAATAAAAGGACATAAATGGAATTTTAGATGTAAGCCTTACAATCATATTAGTTTTAGGGCATAGAGGGTGTTTGGCTAAGCTTATAAGCTGGTCAAACTGGCTTACAAGCACTTTTTGGCTTATTTACGCGTTTGGTAAAATTAAAAGTGCTTATAAGTTAAGTGCTTATAAGCCAAAAATAAGCCAAAAGTCGTAAGTTGGTCTCCCCCAACTTATCAAATTTCAGTTTATAAGCAGTTTAAGTTTGACCAAAATATTTACTATTCTATCCCTAAAATACTTCTTTTTAAAACAAAACTCTTCGTATACCCAGTTCTTCAGCTGCATATTATTAATTTCAGCACTTTTATCCAAACACGTAACTGCTTATTTTTTAAATCAGCTTCAGCACTTAAAAGTACTTTTCAGCACCTAATGCTTATCAGCTGCTCTAAATCAGCTAAGCCAAACGGGCTCATAATACTACACGTTATGAATCCTACATGATTACCTTTAGGAATCTTATTAGTATAATTACTTTGGGGATGACTAATTCATATAAAATTGAACAAGTAAATATCTTTAGTCATGTAATCCTATTATTTTTAGGATATACTTCTTAAAAATTCCTATTATTAATTTAATTTGAAAACGTATTATAATGTCCTATTACTAATTTAATTTGAGAATGTATTATATTGTCCAAATTTATTTAGAAAAAAGAGAGCATGTATTATTATAAATGCATAAATACAATATTAATATACCAAAATAGCCCTAAAATATTAAGCGGAAGAACTCATAGGGAAAGGACATAACTGTAATAACCTAGTTTTTGTACTACAATACCTTCTATGCTAATTTTTAATATTTAAAATTATTAAAATTTATCTATTAAATTCTTATTAAAAATATGTAGGAAGGGTTAATAAAATTAATTTCATAAAATCCTCCATATTGGCAATACATTACCACTCCATAATGTCCAATATCAATCTATATCCATATCTATATTATTATAAAAGCATGAATAAAATATTGGTTTACATAAATAACCTTATAATCTTAAGCATAATAACTCATAATAAAAGGACATAACCGAAATTCTAGATGTATGCCTTACAATCATATTAATTTTAGGACATAATACTACACATTAGTAATCATATATGATTACCTTTAGGAATCCTATTAGTATAATTACTTTAAGGATGATTAATTCATATAGAATTGAACAAGTAAATATCTTTAATCATATAATCCTATTACTTTTAGGATATACTTCTTAAAATTCCTATTACTAATTTAATTTGAAAACCTATTATAATATCCTATTATATTGTTCAAATTTATTTAGAAAAAAGAGAACATGTATTATTATAAAAGCATAAATACAATATTAATATACCAAAATAGCCCTAAAATATTAAGCGGAAGAACTCATAGGGAAAGGACATAACTGTAATAACCTATTTTTTGGACTACAATACCTATATGCTAATTTTTAATATTTAAAATTAATAAAATTTTGTCTATTAAATTCTTATTAAAAATAAGGTTTAGTAAATTTAATTTCATAAAATCCTCCGTATTGGCAATACATTACCACTCCATAATGTCCAATACCAAGAAAAAATTAAAAGTAAAATTAAATGGACTGCATAAAGAATTAAAATTGAGAGAAAGATACCCCCACTAATATATTTTTATATTATATTTGAACTATTTTCCTACTAAGATAATATTTTCTTAATCAATTTTTTGTATAATATTGAAAAATACTCAATTATTAAATAATAACCTAAGAAAATATTTAAGAATTAAGTGTCAGAAAGAGAAAAAAAATAGTTGGTAACAGTCAATACACTAATGATTCTACAAACATAACAATCTAAAAGTGAAAGGTCATATTAATCTTTTACTCTTTGAAAATAAACTTTATGGTGGATAAAAGTATAATTAAAATAAAATATTCAAAATAAGAGATGAACTAATACTAAGATCTGAATCAACATAAAATAAATTATTTTTATATTAAAACCAAGTAATTAAATCTTTTAATTAATTATTTAGCAAGAGAATCCAATTCAATTATTTTTTAAATTTATCACATGAGTAAAATTCTTATTCAAGCTAAAAAAAATCTTAGGGTACATAAATTTATTGCATAAAAAAAAGCGTTAGAACACAAAGTAAAAAGGTTAGTATATTATTAAGAATCAAAATGCTATACAAGTGTCTGAGGGAGCACAATCAAAGTTAAATCCTAATCAAGAACGAGCTTTCAAGACTATATTATAAAGAGTCGACTCTGGTATAACGGGATTATTCTTTGTAGATGCTTCTGGCGGAATGGAAATAATATTTATATGTCATGCAATACTAGCAAATATCATATTAAGAGGCATGACACTATTAGCAATTATAGCAAGTGGTATATCAATAACGATTTTATTGTGAGGCCACCCACTTTAGATTTGTTATACCTTTTCAAACAACTTAAATAACCATCACAAATATATCAAAGCAGAGCAATGATGCTAAATTTATAAGGAAAGCAAAATTGATAATATGGGATGAAGCACTTATGGATAAGTGTCAAACAATCGAAGTTCTAGAGATATATTGGATATTAATAAACCGTTTGGTGAAAAATTAATGGTTTGGGAGGTGATTTCTGACAAGTACTACCAGTAGTTCCTAAATCGACAAAAGGAGAGACTGTAAAAGCTACCTTGCTAAAGTTATACTTCTTGCCTCAAATGAAAAAGATTGAACTGACAAGAAATATAAAGTAAGAACAGATCCAGTATCCAGTGTCTTCTTGCTTCGTGCGGAAACGAAGAAGAGCATCCAATAAAAGATGATTTGGTTCTTCCTGAACACTTGGTTATCAATTCCAATGGTAATGACAGTGCATTTAATAAGAGAAATATTTCTATCATTAGATTAAAACGCGATTTGTGAAAATCGCATGATAGAATTAAAAAGATATCCTAGCTAGCAGAAATGAACATATTGATCAACTAAATAAAATGTTGATTGCAAAATTTTATAGTAAAAACAAAATGTTTTTCAGTTTTTGACTAGGCAGAAAATGATACCAATAATTACTACCAAGAAGAATACTTAAATACTTTACCAAATGATCTTCTACCATACATGTTTGTTGTCAAGTTTATTATTTCTTATGTATGTTAGTGTCACCGTATATATAATAGACTAAGTTAAAATTGATCTTCCATTATATATAGGTTAATTTTGAAAAAAAATGTGCCCATCATCAGTGGCGGAGGCAGGATCTCCACGAAGGGGGTTCAAAAAATTTTTTTTGTATGTAGTGGGAATTGAACCCATGACTTTATGTAGATTTTGAACACCCTTGACCACTAAACTACGCTTTTGGATTGCATTAAGGGTGTTCAAAACTTAATATATAGAGATAAAACACAAATTTTGCCTTAGATATACAGTGTAATTTTTCGGCGACACCCTTGCGCCCCCTAAATCCGCCCCTGCCCATCATGCTACTGAAAAACTTAGATACACCGAATAGCTTATGTAATAGCACACATGTGGTATATAGAAGTTTTAACAATAACAGCATACATGCAAAAATTATGATATTGGTCAATGTGCTTCTAAGTATATGTTTATCCATGAATTCAACTTTCGTCTTCCGAAACTAAGGAATATCTTTTTAAATTTGTGTGAAAATAATTTTTAGCATGTTTATGTTTTTGAAATTGAAAATATAATAAATAAAGCACAAGGACAAACATTATATACTGGACTATATTCACCGCAATATATTTTCTTGCACGAACAACTGTATGTTGCACTCTCAAAAGGGGTATCAAGATCGACAACAAGCGTTCTGGTTAAGGCAAAGCAACCAAAGCATTATGAGGAAACATACACAAAAAAATATTATCCACAAATAAGTGTTC